CATAATTATATATATATATATATATCCAGCAGAAGGCCCTCGAAGTCGAACTGCAACGAATAAAGCCGGAGATAGCATACATTGGGCAGACCCTAAACCCTAAACAATAAACCCTAAACCCTAAACCCTAAACCCTAAACCCTGCTGTTTACGGTTTTGGGGGGTTTTGGGGGCCCATGGTCCATAAACCCTAGTACCACTTGCAGCTGACCTTCCTCTCGGGGCCTTGGGGAGACCCGGGCCTGTTTTGGAAGCCCTGAACCCTTAAGAGTTAAGGGTTAAGGGTTAAGGGTTAAGGGTTAAGGGTTTAGGGTTTAGGGTTTAGGGTTTAGGGTTTAGGGTTTAGGCTTTAGGCTTTAGGCTTTAGGGTTGAGGGTTGAGGGTTGAGGGTTGAGGGTTGAGGGTTGAGGGTTGAGGGTTGAGGGTTTAGGGTTTAGGGTTTAAAAGGGTTTAGGTTATTTCTATAAACCCTGAACCCTAGCCCCTACACCTACTTGACGAAGTTCCCTGAGCCTCTAGGCAGGGTGCCACCGGAATCCGACGCCGAAGTAGTCTGCAGATTGCCACAGCCCCGCGTCACAGAAGGGACTTTCGCCTGAGGCGGGGTTTCGGGTTTCGGGTTTACGGTTTAGGGTTTAGGGTTTGGGGTTTGGGGTTTGGGGTTTGGGGTTTGGGGTTTGGGGTTTGGGGTTTGGGGTTTGGGGTTTGGGGTTTGGGGTTTGGGGTTTGGGGTTTGGGGTGTGGGGTTTGGGGGGTGGGGTTTGGGGTTTGGGGTTTGGGGTTTGGGGTTTGGGGTTGGGGGGTTGGGGTTTGGGGTTTGGGGTTTGGGGTTTGGGGTTTGGGGTTTGGGGTTTGGGGTTTGGGGTTTGGGGTTTGGGTTTTCCGGTTTAGGGCTTAGAGCCCTTAGAAACCTAGGAATAAACAGGATAGCCCTGTCGCTTAGGGTTTAGGATTTTTGCTCCTAAGAAACCTAGAAATGACATACTCGACAGGATGATACCATGCCTTCGTTCAATGAGGTCGACTCAGGAACCTAGGGCCTATTCATTGGCTTCTTAGGCATGTAGGGAATATAAGGCGTATATTTAGGGGTAATATAAGGGAATAAGATTAAGGACCCCTTCTAGGGGTCCCTCCTTATGCCTCCCTCCTAAAACCTGCTAACACTTGACCTCTGGAGGGCGTTTAGGGTTTAGGGTTCAGGGTTTAGGGTTTAGGGTTTAGGGTTTAGGGTTTAGGGTTTAGGGTTTAGGGTTTAGGGTTTAGGGTTTAGGGTTTAGGGTTTAGGGTTTAGGGTTTAGGGTTTAGGGTTTAGGGTTTAGGGTTTAGGCTTTTTGGGTTTAGGTTTTGGCTCAAGACTTGAGAGCTTGGGTGATTTTTAGGCTTCAGGCGTAAGGGTTTAGGGCTGTTCAGAGCCCAATCAATACGCCTGAGTTAACGAGCAAAGCTTGAGTCATAGTAAGTAAGGGTCCTTATATGGCCAGTTCTCTAAATTATGGTCCCTTTTGGGGTACCCTAAATAGAAAGGGGCCGCCTTATAATAAGGACCCCCAAAGGGACCATGATTTAGAGAAATCACCATATGAAGCAGGGTATATATTTCTTGTACCCCCAAAAAGACACCCAAGGTATACACTCACCAATACTAAAAAGGAACCTTATATACACGCACCCAGAACAGAAATACAAACCCTACTTCATATGAGGTTTAAGGTACACCTATTCTTCTGAATTAAGGCTTGTTTTTGGGGGACTCTTTGGGGTTGGTGTCTTGGAGAGTTTAAACTTTAGACCCTAAACCCTAAACCCCTAAACCCCACACCCGAAAGCCTTTGAGGGTTTTAGGGCTTGCTGAGACTCCCTGAAGCCTGTTGATGTATTCTGAAGGAGGGCTGGATGGTCTTGGGTCTTCGGGTTGGGGGGATTTAGCCCTTCGGGTTTGGGGTTTACACTTGCACCTATAGATGCTACAACCTCCAAATGCCCTGCCCTTCACCCTACACAGCCTAAACCCTAAACCCCTAAGCCCTAAGCCCTAAACCTTCAAATTAACCCTAAACCCTAAACCCTAAACCCTAAACCCTAAACCCTAAACCCTAAACCCTAAACCCTAAACCCTAAACCCTAAACCTGCCAAAGCGGCCGAAGATGTACAGAAACGAAGGGATGCCGGACTCCGCTGGGGGCCCGAGGTTCTGCATGCCTCTCGGGTTTAGGGTTGAGGGTTTAGGGTTGAGGGTTTAGGGTTTAGGGTTTAGGGTTTAGGGCTTAGGGTTTAGGGTTTAGGGTTTAGGGTTTAGGGTTTAAGGTTTAGGGTTTAGGGTTTAGGGTTTACACCAACTCCAGATTTAGGATGTAGGGCTTGGGGCTTCGGAGCCTTCATCTCTCAGAGCTGCGGGCCCTTCCTTGAGGCTTGGGAAACGGCCTGGCGCCCTCCAACCTTGCAGGTCGCCCGGTGATCCGAACCCCGCACCCTAAAACCTAAACCCTAAACCCTTAACCCTAAACCCTAATCCTAAACCCTAAACCCTAAACCCTTAACCCTGAACCCTACACCATAGCTGGCAAAATCACATACACGTAGTACATGCGACTTGCATGCACCGTGAAAATGGCTTTCCTCGCGACCTGGCGCGGGCCTTACACAAGACGGTTTCACCTGCTTGACTTTTGCGTGGTTGAGTCGAGTTGGCTTGGGTGTGAGTACACGACTTGCTGCCAACGTGAAGATCTGCAAGACAAGAAGCTGTAAGATTCCCCATCTGACGATGCCCTTTGAGTAAAACACGCATACAGAAGCCAGAACCCTGAACCCAAAACCCCACCTAAACACAGGTTTGTTTGGGGTCTTGGATTTTGGGCATCTCTATAAGCAATCTAGGGAATGAGGTGCTTGAGGGTCTTAGGGCGCAAGCAGTCTGACCCCGAAACTAAACCTTAAACCCTAAACCTAAACCCTAAGAACCCTCAAACTAGATTGCACCGACCCCCCGACACGTGGGCCTGCAACTGTCACGCGGTGGAGGATGCGAGTGCCAGCATCGGCCTGTTCGAGGAGGGGGCATGCGTGGAGTTTAGGACTCCGCGGGGTTTAGGGTTTAGGGTTTAGGGTTTAGGGTTTAGGGTTTAGGGTTTAGGGTTTAGGGTTTAGGGTTTAGGGCTTAGGGTTTAGGGGTTTAGGGGTTTAGGGGTTTAGGGTTTAGTAGGGTTTAGTAGGGTTTAGTAGGGTTTAGTAGGGTTTAGTAGGGTTTAGTAGGGTTTAGTAGGGTTTAGTAGGGTTTAGTAGGGTTTAATAGGGTTTAGTAGGGTTTAGTAGGGTTTAGTAGGGTTTAGTAGGGTGTAGTAGGGTTTAGTAGGGTTTAGTAGGGTTTAGGGTTTAGGGTGTAGGGTTTAGGGTTTAGGGTTTAGGGGTTTAGGGGTTTAGGGGTTTAGGGGTTTAGGGGTTTAGGGGTTTAGGGTTTAGGGTTTAGGGTTTAGGGTTAGTGTTTAGGGTTTAGGGTTTTAGGGTTTTAGGGTTTAGGGTTTAGGGGTAAGCGTGGAGTTTTTGGTTGTAGCGGGTTTAGGCTGTCATGGTGCGGGAAGATCCTTCAGATCCTTAAACCAGATCAAGACCCCATCATTACTTCAGGAACGGGGACTGTAGGATATTTCTTCTTGACAGCAAAGCTCTTTAGCCCTACTATGGGCCCTGAGCCCTTAGCTACTAAACTCTAAACCCCCAAACCCCCAAACCCCAGACCCGATCACACAAGGGGCACCCACCTCGTGCGCGGACGGGGCAGCGCGGTGGGCCGCGGCCAAGTTGTCCACTAGCAAGAGGTCGCCCTCCTCACTCTGCTGAGGGTTCAGGGCTTCGGGGCTTTGGGGTCACCCTTTGAGGGTTTGGGGGATTCTTCTCACTTTGTAAAGGGCGCTGAACCCCCTGAAGTCCCCCTGAAGCCCCCCTGAAGCCCCTAAAGCCCAAAACCCTAAACCCTAAACCCCAAACCCTCAACCCTCAACCCTAAACCCTAAACCCTAAACCTTAAACCCTAAAACCTAAACCCTAAACCCTAACCCTAAACCCTAAACCCTAAACGCGCCTCGTACTTGTACCTGAGCCAGTGCTCTCGGCGGCTCAGAAGCGCATCGTAGAGGCGGAAGACCTCCGTCACCTGCTGCTAGGGTTTATCGGGTTTATAGGGTTTACAGGGTTTGTAGGGTTTATAGGGTTTATAGGGTATAGGGTTTCTAGGGTTTCTAGGGTTTCTAGGATTTATAGGGTCTAGGGTTTAGGGTTTAGGGCTCAGGGCTCAGGGCTCAGGGTTCAGGGTTTAGGGTTTGAAGCTTTGAAGGCGGGCGTAGGCTTTGGGACTTAGGGTTTTTGGAGTTGTGGGGCTTAGTTTTAGGGTCTACTACCCGAAACGCGAGAATTCCTGAACCCTCCAAACCCTGCTTCAGGGTTGCAGGTTTTCAGGCTTAGAAAGAAGTATAAAAGGGATGAGCAAAGGCCACCAAACAGCCGTGAGCGAAAGCGGGCACCCTAGACCCCCACAACCCTGAACCCTCAACCCCATTATTAAGGTGGGAAAGAAAAACCTAGAACCCAAACCCCGTTTAAGTCTCGTAGGGCCCTTTATTTTTCCGAAGCCATACCGTGAATCGACTGTACGTCAACTTCAAGACACGGCGTTGGCGCAGCAAAAAGGAGGCTTACCTTCTGCAGACGCTTTAGAACTGTCTTTGCAAACCTGCATTATAGATGAGATTATCTTGTACCGGGGTTTCTTCATAAGATATTCTGCCAAGCGTCTCTAGGGCCCTTTATTTGAGAAACTTTATATATCCCCCAAACCCTAAACCCTAAACCCTAAATCCTAACGCTAAACCCTAAACCGCCTAAACCCTAAACCCTAAACCCTAAACCCTGAACCCTGAACCCTGAACCCTAAACCCTAAACCCCAGGGATCATGTCACCATTCTCTGCTTAGGACCCCTAATGCAGAGGCCTCCTGTGCCGTTAGAGCTGTGCTGCCCGGAGGAATCTCGGTGCCGGCGGCCTCAGGAGGGACCCTGGACTCTTCTTGGGCTTAGTGGAGGGTAGGGTTTAGGGTTTAGGGTTTAGGGTTTAGGGTTTAGGGTTTAGGGTTTAGGGTTTAGGGTTTAGGGTTTAGGGTTTAGGGTTTAGGCTTAGGGTAGGGCTTAGGGTAGGGCTTAGGGTTTAGGGTTTAGGGTTTAGGGTTTAGGGCTTAGGGCTTAGGGCTTAGGGTTTAGGATTTAGGGTTTAGGGTTTAGGGTTTAGGATTTGGGGTTTGGGGCCTGGGGCTTGGGGCTCAGGGCATCAGGATTGTAGGGTTTTGCTTGGGGGGGGCTGCTTGGGGTTTGGTGTGTTGAGGGGCCAGGGCTTTTCAAGGGTTCAGGGGCCCAGGGCTCTGCGGCTGTAGGGTCTTCGGCATGAACACGAGAAGAGGGCTTCAGGGTTTAGGGTTTTGTCTAGGGTTTAGGGCTTTGGCTTTAGGCCATCTGCTGGATTGCTGCTGGCCAGAAGAAGAAACCAGAACTATTCCTTACTGGCTCTTAGTGGGGAATTTAGGAATTCGGCAGCGCCCGCATAGAACCCCTTACAGGGGTGTATGGAAGGTGCCCTAATTCCGGCCAAATTCCCTCATTCCCTACGAACTCGTAAGTTGCGGCAACTAACATTTGGGGGCGTTGCGGATGCAAGGTTTTAGGATGCCCTGTTTCGGTAAACCCTCAACCCGAACCCCCCCCCCTCCCCCCAACTCTAAACCGCGACACCCCTAAACTAAACCCTAAACCCCTAGCCCCCTAAACCCTAAACCCTAAACCTTGGGGGGATGCGTTGAGGCTGGGAGGATGTCTGTGCACCCGGCCATTGAGGTGAGAGCCGCGGTCGCAGGCGAGCGCTGCGGGCTTGTGCCATTCCTTTCGAGTTGCGGCGTCTTTTTGGCACCCTAAACCCTAAACCCTAAACCCCAAACCCTGCACCCTAAACCCTCCTAAGCCCTGAACCCTAAAACCAACACTGAGGGTGCGAGGGCCTTGGTTCGATCGGTTCATCCAGCCTCCCGACCCTCCCGAGGATGGACAAGGAAGGAACTAAAGCCTGCCCTGAACCCTAGACCCTCAACCCTAACCCTGAAACCCTAGATCAGAAGCGGATGCAAATGTAGCAGCTTGGCGGGGCAACACCTCCTCTGGAAAGGATTTTGGCTGTTGGGCCTAGGGTTGAAGGCTTTATGCTTAGGGCTTAGGGTTGAGGGTTCGGGGATAACCTCTTAACCTCCAAAACCCCCAACCCCAAACCCCAAACCCATGAAGCTTTGAGTTTCGAGGCGAAATTAAACCCTAAACCCGAAACCCTACATAAAGAATTGTTTGTTATTAGAGCCTGCTTTATCCCTTGTCTCACGTGCTACTTACTGCCCGTGACCAGGAGTTGCAAGCTGACTAGACGAGAGAGGGCTTTCCCCGAAATCACATTAAAGTCCCTCGTGCAGCTTTGAGGAATCTTCCCGGCGCTGAACCCCCTGAACCTCTAAGCCATCAACCCCTAAACACCCTAAACCCTAAACCCTAAGCCCTAAAGCCGTAAACCCTAAACCCTAAACCCTAAAACCCTAAAACCCTAAAAGCCCTAAAAGCCCCGTTCTCTGTGGAGCTGCAGCCGTGGAGCCCCGTCCAGGACACCAGCGCCCCCGTCTGGCCCAGGTGGAGAAAGAGCACCTCTACAGCTACATGGGTCTAGGGTCTAGGGTCTAGGGTCTAGGGTCTAGGGTTTAGGGTTTGGGGTTTAGGGTTTAGGGTTTAGGGTTTAGGGTTTAGGGTTTAGGGTTGAAGGGCTCCTTGGGGCAGGCTCATGTTAGGATTTGGGCTAAAGCAGTCTGGGCTTGCGGATGAGCTGAGTGTAGGGCTTAGGGCTTAGGGGCTTAGGGGCTTAAGGGCTTAGGGGCTTGGGGGCTTAGGGGCTTAGGGGCTGGGGGCTCAGGGGCTTAGGGGCTTAGGGCGAGCAAAGGCACGCTTGCGCCTTGCGCCCGGTGATCGGGTGCCGGTGGACGAGAGGATGGACGGCACCTCTGTAGGGCTTTTACCGTTTGGGGGGGGGGGGGGGGGGTGGGGGTGGTTTCCCAAAAATAGGATTTAGGTTTAGGGTTCAGGGTTTAGGGTTTAGGGTTTAGGGTTTACGGTTTACGGTTTAGGGTTTAGGGTTTAGGCCTAAAGGGTTCGAACAATAGGATTATACTAGTCTGGGGAGAATGGACCAGGGGGGATTCAATCAGCCCTTGCTCTTCACGTCGCTCTCCGTTTGGGGAATTGCTAAGGCATAGGCATTATGCCTTCAATCACCCTAAACCCTAAACCCTAAACCCTAAACCCTAAACCCTAAACCCTAAACCCTAAAACCCTAAAACCCTAAACCCTAAACCCTAAACCCTAAGCCCTAAACCCGAAACCCGAAACCCTAAATGCTGCCCGAGGTGCCAGAGTAGGCGTTTACGGAGGCCAGCCGCGACCACCTCTCCTGACACTTGTGGGATGAGGGATGCTTCCGGACTTTTTGGGGCTTCAGGGTTTCAGGTTTCTTGGCTGCACTCAGGAGGGTAACTAAAAATTAAACTTTTCGCTGCCTTAATAAGAAACCCAATAAACCCAAAAAAGGTAAGGATCTAAAGTTACAGTAAAGTACCACAAAGGTTTCATTCTTTGGGCTTTACAGGTCCTTTAGAGATGAGGGACGCTAGGAAGGGTGGTTTAGGGTTTCGGTGGGTTTTCGGGCTTGAGGGTTTTAGGGCTCATTCTTGGGGCTCTTAGTTCTTTGGAGAAGATCCTCATCAGCTAACTAAGCGAGAAGACAAGACATCCCAGTAACCTAGGAATAAAAAGGGTGCCCTTTTTGGTTTGAAGGGCCTATAAGGGTACCCCCAAAAAAAAGGGAATAAGGGCCTACTCTCGGTCCTAGCCATGATCAAGTAGCGGCATAAAATTCAGGTTATACCAGTAGAAGCAAATCTATCTGTTGCCCTATTTTGTAATGGCCCATGAAACATCAAGCGCCGAATCCCTAAACCCTATAAGCCCTATAATCCCTGTAAACCCTGTAACCCTACAAACCCTACTGCAACGCCTATAAACCCTATAAAACCCTCCACACCCGAAACCATCTTCTTCTGATGGCACTCGGCACTACCTACAACCCTAAACCCGAAACCCTGAACCCCTAACACCCTTAGCCCCTAAACACGAACCCCGAAACCCTAAAACCCTAAGCCCAAAAACCCGAAACCCTAAAACCCTAAACCCCCTAGAACCCTGAGCCCCTAAGCCCGAAACCCTCAAAAGCGCCTGCAAGTCGGGAGGCAATGCCTCGTAGGCGGCAGCCTAAGCTCGAGGCTGGAAGTTCTTGAGTTCAGGGTTCAAGGTTTAGGGGTTTAGGGGTTTAGGGGTTTAGGGGTTTAGGGGTTTAGGGGTTTAGGGGTTTAGGGGTTTAGGGGTTTAGGGGTTTAGGGGTTTAGGGGTTCAGGGGTTTAGGGGTTTAGGGGTTTAGGGGTTTAGGGGTTTAGGGGTTTAGGGGTTTAGGGGTTTAGGTAGGGGTTTAGGGGTTTAAGGTTTTTTGAGGCTTTAGGGTTTAGGGCTTGAGGCTTCAAGACACAGTGTTTAGGGTTGACGGCGCGTTTCACGTTGAGCGTTTGGGATTTCGGCGTTTAAGCGGGGGAGGGGGCGGTTGGGTTGGGAGTTTGCAGCAGACCTTCCCGCCAACAAATCCGAAACCCTAAACCCTAAACCCTAAGCCCTAAACCCTCAACCCTAAACCCTAAACCCTAAACCCCAAACCCTAAACCCTAACCCCCCCCCCCCCCCCCCCCCTGCCCCGCCCCCTCGGGAAGGCCCACACATCTTCAGCTGCAGGCTTTCAGGGCCAGGAGCTCATTTAACCTCAACTTAAACCTAAACCCCAGACCTCAAACCCTAAACCCCTTAACTTCAGTTGCCCAAGGCTGGAGCCCCCAAATCTGATTGCCAAAGCCCGGAAATGAGATTAAAGCAATGTAGCATGCAATATTGTAGAATACGATATCATGTAGCATAGTGAAGTATAGTACAGTAGTAGATGTAATAATATGTAGAGTAGTATCTAGTATAGCATCGTATGGAACTGTATAAGTATAGTATGGCAAGGTAGGTACAGTCAGCTATTTAGTATCACGGAGTTTCGTGTGAACAGATATGCTGTAAATACATGTACGTACTTGTTTTTTGTTAATGCGTGGGTGTTGAGCCAAAGCCGCCAGATCTGCAAAGTCCGTCTCGCCCCCCGAGGCCGGCATTTGCTGGGCGTGGAAGAGCAGATGGCCTCGGCTCTGGTCACCGGGGTTTGGGGTTTGGGGTTTAGCGTTTAGGGTTTGGGGTTTGGGGCTTGGGGTTTGGGGTTTGGGGTTTGGGGTTTAGGGTTTAGGGTCACTCCTCTCCCTAGATTAAACTTATGCTACATGGTGCAAAACAAAATGCACTGTATACTGAATTTAACCATGCAATATGCTATATATTGATATATGCAGGCTAGATGCTATTGTACAAGGAAAAATCCATAGGGGTCTCATAGGCATACTTAGGGTAGACAAACAGATAGAGGCTTTAGGGACGTAGAATTCTGTCTGTGTATATATGTACACACCCATGGGGCGAGGGAGATAGGGCCTGGGTTTCAGTGTTAGAGCTCGGGCGGGGGTGAGGATGCTCTTCGCAGTTTCCAACGTCTTGCGAAACCCTCCATAGGCCCCCGATGCTATGGGTTTTAGGGGCGTCAGGTTTGGTATGAAGACTTTGAGGAGGGTGTTGGCAAGTGCCCCATGAACCTCCAGTTCAGAATTCAGAGTTTCGGGTTTGGGGTTTGGGGCACTTCCATCGCGTCTCACGTCCAGCTTTAGGGCCGACAGGTTTGGGACTTCGTGGGCTTCGGACGCTCAACCCCCTCACCCCGTAACCCTCAACCTCCTCAACCTCCTCAACCCCCTAAACCTCCTAAACCCCCTAAACCCCCTAAACCCCCAAAACCCCCTAAACCCCCTAAACCCCCTAAACCCCCCCAAAGAATGCTGAGAGCATCGAGAAAAAGCTTTCAAAGTCCTCACGCCGGGTCGCTGAAAACGCGGGCCTCGGTGCTTCCGTCGCTGTGCCACCTGGAACTCCGAGATTTTTGGGCTTCAGGGCCTCAGCCCCAAACCCTAAACCCCAAACCCCTAACCCTAAACCCTAAACCCTCAAGTGTGCGAGTGGCTGCGGGCCGACGCCGACGACACCGCGAGCCGCCTGGAGCGAGGCGCTTTCGGAGTTAGCGGGGCAATATAGGGGTCTGAGTAGTTGGAGTAGGGCTCTAAACCCTAAACCCTAAACCCTAAACCCTAAACCCTAAACCCTAAACCCTAAACCCGAAAGGGAATACTGTTAGAAATTATGCCGACCCCTGCGGTAACCCATCTTGCAAGGGCTGCCCTGCGTTTAGCGTTTAGGGAGTTTAGTAAGATTAGGGAGTTTGGGGTTTAGAACTTGGGCTTCAGGGTTTCGGTTCAAGGTTGAAGGGTTGAAGGCTTGAAGGCATGAAGGGTTGAAGGGTCTAGGGGGTTGGTGTGAAGGTTTGGCGCAGGGTTCAGGGGCGCAGGGGAAGCCCTAGACCCCAAAGCCCCAAGCCGTGAGCTCAAGACCTAGAGTTTAGGGCTTTGGGTTTAGGGTTCAGGGTGTTGGGTTTAGGGCTTAGGGTTAAGGGTTTCGGGATGAGGGCTTCGGGCTCAAGATTTCAAGCGTGGGCTTGTGGATGCAGGTCCTTATGGAGTAGAGTTTAGGGTTTAGGGTCTAGGGTTTAGGGTTTAGGGTTTAGGGTTTAGGGTTTAGGGTTTAGGGTTTAGGGTTTAGGGTTTAGGGTTTAGGGTTTAGGTTTAGGGGTTAGGGTTTAGGGTTTAGGGTTTTGGGTTTAGGGTTTAGGGTTTAGGGTTTAGGGTTTAGGGTTTAGGGTTTAGGGTTTAGGGTTTAGGGTTTAGGGTTTAGGGTTTAGGGTTTAGGGTTTAGGGTTTAGGGTTTAGGGTTTAGGGTTTAGGGTTTAGGGTTTAGGGCGACTGCCCCGGAAACTTACTGAAAAGGTACCTGGTTGGAGAGCCGTAGGATGCCATCGTCGGGGCTCTGGGCATGGGCCACGTGCCGGCTCACCACTTCCTTGCGGGTGCGAAGTGAAGGACGGGGTTTAGGGTTTAGGGTTTAGGGTTTAGGCTTTAGGGTTTAGGGTTTAGGGTTTAGGGTTTAGGGTTTAGGGTTTGGGGTTTGGGGTTTCGGGTTTCGGGTTTCGGGTTTCGGGTTTCGGGTTTCGGGTTTAGGGTGTAAGGTTTAGGGAGGGTTTAGGGATTCGAGGCCATACTTTCTTTGGAGAGCATCCTGAAAAAGGTCGTTCTTAGTAGGGAATGAGGGAATGAGGTACCCTATATAATCCCTTTAAGGGCTTCTATAGGGCCCTCATTCCCTCATTCCCTACTAAGAACCAGGGAGTTGAAGGCTTGCAACAGACCTCTACCGCGGGATACATTGGGCGTACCTTGTTAACGCTATGCTCGTAATTGTCTCTGACAAGCTGGTGTTTCGACGGGGCTAGTTGAAGTGGGTTTGAAGGTTTTAGGTTTAGGAAGTAGGCTTTAGGCTTTCGGGTTTGGGGTTTAGTTCATTCCTTTTTGAAAACACCTCTCATATGGCATCAAGGCTTAGCGTTTGGCGTTAGGATTGTCTTTTGGGGGTCAGGGTTTAGTTTAGTGAGATGAGGGATATCTTGGCGTAGGGCTTCGGGTCGAAGGTTTGAGGCTTCAAGCCCTAAACCCTAAACCCTAAACCCTAAACCCTAAACCCTAAACCCAAGGCTTGAAGCACTCTTGGCGGCTTTCTTGGGGTTTGTTCAGGATTGGGGCGTTGACAGAACATGAGCCTGAGGTCACGCCCTATAAGGGTTTAGGGTTCAGGGTTCCGGGTTCAGGGTTTAGGGCCTAGGGCTCTGGGTTTACGGTTCAGGACACTCACAGGTGGGCAGATACTGCGCATCTAAGCCCTTATAAACACTTGGGGCTTCCGCCTCTCATACTGCTACCCTGAACCCTTTAAGGGACATACCCCACCTGAAAGCGCTCCAGGTCCCAAACCCTTAAACCCTCATCAGGGGTTAGAGCTTCGGGTGTAGGGTTTAGGGGCCTCGGGTTTGGGGCTTGTTGATTTTCAAGGCCCAGAAAAGAATGTCCCACGTACTGCAAGAGCCCCAAGCCAGTCAACCCACGGAATCCCCGCACCTTAAACTCTGAAACACCTTCAGCCCTAACATGCCGTTCAGCCCATTTAGGGAGAATGGCATCTTGCTTGGCTGCCAGGGAAGCAACCGTGTCTCCCTTTGACTTGGGCCTTGGGGCGGTTCTGGAATCCCAAACCCTAAACCCTAACCCTAAACCCTAAACCCTAAGCCCTAAACCCTAAGCCCTAAACCCTAAACCCTAAACCCTAAACCCTAAACCCTAAACCCTAAACCCTAAACCCTAAACCCTAAACCCTAAACCCTAAACCCTAAGCAGCAGTGTGGTAACCCGACCGACTTTCGGGGAGACCAACACGCAGGCTTTGGAGAGGCGAAGAACCTTTGTCGCAAGGGGGTACACCTCGGGCATGTCCCGCACAAAGGGGACCACGAGTCCACTCTGCAACAGAGCATCTTGACCCTGCTCCAGGAAGCCTGAAAGCATGCAGAGCGGTCGGCCGCCAGGCCGTCTCATCACAACGTAGGCCATGCAAGCCCTCCCTTCCCGGAGGGGAGGGGAGGATAACGTGAATCCGAGCAGCTCCACGGAGCAGTCCTCCACCGAAGCAAGACTGGTCATCGCGGATAGGGCATGTCTTAGGGTTTAGGGTTTAGGGTTTAGGGTTTAGGGTTTAGGGTTTAGGGTTTAGGGTTTAGGGTTTAGGGTTTAGGGTTTAGGGTTTAGGGTTTAGGGTTTAGGGTGCCAGCGCCAGCAAAGTACACACGACACTCAGCCTCGCTGGATGCGACAGCCAACCCTAAACCCTCAACCCCTTCAAAGCCTAAACCCCCCTCTAAACCGTGAACCATGAGCCCTCCCTAGACCCTATAAACCCTATAAACCCTATAAACCCTATAAACCCTATAAACCCTATAAACCCTATAAACCCTATAAACCCTATAAACCCTAAACCCTAACCCTAAATCCCCTAAACACTTGCTTCCGAAGGTCTCGGCCGCCGAAGCTTTGGGAGATCCTTGCGGCGGCTGAGGAGGTCGGGGCCATGCCAGGGTTTAGGGTGTAGGGTTTAGGGTTTAGGGTTTAGGGTTTAGGGTTTTGGGTTTAGGGTACTAGGGTTGCGGCTTAGGGTTTTAGGGTTCAGAGCTTTAGGGTTTGGGGCTTGGGGTTTGGGGGTTTCGAGGTTGGGGTTTAGCCTGAAAGCGGGACATTTAGGCCCCGCAGTTCCATAGCTTTTGGGCACAGTACCGGTTGTAGGGTTTCAGGGTTGATCCTTCTTGTGGTTGAGGGTGTAGGGCTAGGGTTTAGGGTCTAGGGTTTAGGGTCTAGGGTCTAGGGATTAGGGTTTAGGGTTTTGGGTCTAGGGTTGAAGGTGTAGGGTCTTCTTTTGTTTAACTCGGATTGTAAGGCGGGCTCAGGCTGTCGGGGCTTTTAGGGATTCGGGTTGAGTGCCCACAGCGAGTGTGCTAGAATCATGGTGTTTTTGCTGTAAGTGTTTAAGCGCTTAGGGCTTAAGGATGTAGGGCTTAAAGGGTTGAAGTGGTTGAGGGTTTGGGGATAGTTTGGTTGTGGGTTTGAGGCATCAGAGCGGCTGAGGGTCGTGCCACCTCCCCAAAGGAAGACGTTTAGGGATTTAGGGTATAAGGCCTCTCGCCCTAAAGGCCTCAATCCTAAACTCTAAACCCCAAACCCCAATCAAAACCCCTGAAAACCCAAACCCTCCACCCGAAGTGAACCTTCCAGTAATCGGCCCAGGCGCCGCAGAAGGTCCGCGACCGTGATGTTTTCCAGCCTCTCTTTCGGCAGCGCAGCTCACGGCATAAGAGTCTTTCGGGTACACTTGGAGGGTCAGGGGACTAAGTAGGTAGATAGCAAGTAGACTTATAGGTACCCTAAAAGGGACCCTAATTGGAGTTATCCTACTGACTAAGTCCTCTGAGCCTCCAGGTAGGGTTTAGGAGGATTCAGGGTTTCAGGCAGGCACGGTGTTTTTAAGGCAGGCACGGAGTTGCTTCACAAGTTTTACGGCTCTTGTTGTTCTACCGGGCTTAGGGCTTAGGGTATAGGGGCTGTGTTCGGGGTGGCTCTGAAATCTCCGCGCCGAATCAACGGCTTGTCAAGTTCGCTGTAGCCCCACTGCCGATCCACGAGCTTGTCGACGCCAGTGCACATCGCCACGTCCATTCCAAGCGATAGCGATCCTAAACCCTAAACCCTAAAGCCCTAAAACCCTAAAAACCCCAAAACCCTAAACCCATCACTGTCGTGCCCTCGGAGGATGGTGAGACGGAGTGGCTTGAGGTCATGCATGGTCCCTGCAAACCAGTGGCGGTCAGCCGGCAGGTCCTCCTCATCATCATCGGCCTTTTCTGGCTGCAGAGGGGCCACGCACTCTCCATACGATTGGCATCGTCGTCGGCCTGGCTTCTCAGAGGTCCCTGAACCATGGACCCTGTTGCAGCTCCCGGAGCCCCAAACTGGGGCTCATTCTAAGCCAAGCTGAGGCTGCAACTGAGGGCTTCGGGTTTCGGGTCCAGGGTCTAGGGTTTCGGGTGCAGGGCTTAGGACTTAGGATTTCGGGTTGAGGGTTGAAGGGGGTCAGGTGTCCGAGTACAGGATACCAAACCCTAGCAGCCGAAAAACAGAAACCTAAAGCCACCAAAGACCCTAAACTTCTCTAGACTAACCCCTTAAGGCCCTCTCACAGACATTCTTGAATATGATCCTCTCAAACCCCAGAAGGGAAGATCCAACATGTCTCAAGGGCCTAATCCCTAAACCCTAAACCCTAACTTTAAACCCTAAACCCGAAACCCGAAACCCTAAACCCTAAACCCTATCCCCAGCGTTTCAAATCCTAAAGCCCAAGCCCTCCCCCCAACGGAGCCGGATGAGCCTCCTGAAGCGGACGAAGCCGCGGCGAGCAGCCAGCTCCTGCAGTTCGCGCTTGGGGTTTAGGTTTAGGGTTTAGGGTTTAGAATTTAGGGCTTAGGGTTTAGGGTTTCCGGTTTCCGGTTTCCTAGGGTTGAGGTTGCAGTGGGCAGGAGTTCGTCCAGTGGGCAGAGAACAGCGTAGAGACATTGCGCAGCTCAGTGCTTCGGATGTTGGATTTGAGGGCCACAGTCAAGTTTCGGAATGGGGGCCTTTCTTAGATTTGGGGTTTATAGGGTTTCGGGCTTAGGGTTTAAGGGGGAGTCTTTTTTTGATGCCTTCTACCCACGAGCCAGTAGCAAGTTTTGTTGAGGTTTGGTCTGGGCTTAGGTTCTTGGGTCCAGGAAGAAAAGACTAAAACCCTTTGTGCACTCTTCTACACTCTGACACCCTAAACCGAGCCTTCACCCCTGAACCTGTGAGCCCTAAGCCTAAGCGTTGGTGGTGCTTAAACCACCCACGAACCCACCCGAACCTGATGTCCCCAGGCACTCGCGGACTTTGAACATGCTGCTGTGTTGTTCTTGGGTACTTTGCTAGGTGGGTTTAGGGCTTTTTGGGGCTTAGGGAGTGCTTATCTTCCCTTACATACGGGAAAGCCTAAACTTTGTTGTTTTGAAAGTCAACCAAGAAGATGCCAGCCCCGCAGAATCCATACCCCACGACATTCTCTACCCTCTTGACCTTGAACACAGCAACCGTAAATCCCACGCGCTTCCATCCCCAGACCCTAATTACTCAAACCCTAAACCTTAAACCCTAAACCCTACACCCTACACCCGAAACCCTAAACCCTAAACCCGACACCCTACACCCTAAACCCTAAAGCCTAAACCCTAAACCCTAAACCCTAAACCCTAAACCCTAAACCCTAAACCCTAAACCCCAACCTCCTCCCTTACAACGCGCGGCACCTGCAGCTCCGCCACGCACGCCGGTGTAAGCTGGCGCGGGTCGAGGGCCAGCACGGAGCCTTGGCTGGCATCCGTGCTTTGAGGTTTAGGGCTTAGGGTTTAGGGTTTAGGGTTAAGGGTTTAGGGCTTAGGGCCGAGGGCTTAGGGTTTAGGGTTGAGGGTTTCGGGTTTAGGGTTTAGGGCTTAGGGCTTAGGGCTTAGGGTTTAGGGAACTGAATATTCGGCTTGCCAGAAGCGATTTGCACTAGTTTGCTTAAACTCGGCTTATCAGCTGTTGGGGATCTGGGGGGTGTCTGGGGCTCTGCGGGGGTTTTGAATTGAAGTGAATTGAAGTGAATTGAAGTGAATTGAAGTGAACTGAAGTGAATTGAAGTGAATTGAAGTGAATTGAAGTGAATCGAATATTCGGCTTGCCATAAGCAGTTTGAACTAATTTACTGAAACTCGGCTTGTCAGCTGTTTAGACAAAAAGCATGGGAAATTCAAAGTGGTATCACATGAAATTTCTATTTATTTCGTCTTGAGGGTTTCGGGTTTAGGGTTTAGGGTTTAGGGTTTAGGGCTTAGGGTTTAGGGTTTAGGGTTTAGGGTTTAGGGTTTAGGGTTTAGGGAACATAAGGGGACCCAGGGTAGGCTTAGCCTCTACGGCTTTGCGGCTGTTTGGCTTCTGTGGTTTGGGGTGTTGGGGTGCAGGGTTTGCGAGCGGTAGACCTTTCGGAATCTTTAGGACTTAGGGGCTGCAGGCCTTCAGGGCCTCAGGTCTTCAGGACTTTAGGGACTTCAACACCTTTGGGGCTTCATGGTGGGTCTGGGCCCGCATGTTGGCGCACAGTGTAGCTCGAGCAACTGCAACAAGTGGCGGAAAGATCTCCAGAATTTGACTTCCGTGCTGGGGTTTAGCCTGAAGAGCCTTTTGCTTGTCGAGCCTAGGGTGCGGGTTCTTGGGTTTAGGGTTTAGAGAGTTTGGTGTTTATGCTGAACCACCAACCCTGAAGCCCTTCAATCGCCTAAAAACCCCGGCCAGACACTCCTAAACCCTAAACCCTAAACCCTAAACCCTAAACCCTAAACCCTAAACCCTAAACCCCATAAACCCCATAAACCCCAAACCCCAAACCCTAAACCCCAAACCCTAAACCCCAAACCCGCCCAAAAAAGGAGCTCAAAGTCGTCTCCTGAATCCTGGCTCGGTGCTGCCAAGGGGATGGAGATCTGCCACCTCCAGGCCTGCAGAGTGGGGGTTTTTTGGTGGGTTTAGGGTTTCGGGTTTAGGGTTTCGGGTTTAGGGTTTAGGGTTTAGGGTTTAGGGTTTTTGGGGGGTTTAGGGTGTTTGGGGTGTTTGGGGTGTTTAGGGTGTTTAGGGTGTTTAGTGGGGTGTTTGGGGTGTTTAGGGGGTTTAGGGTTCATAGGGTGTTTGGGGTGTTTAGGGCGTGTACGGTGTTTAGGGTGCTTAGGGTGTTTAGGGCGTGAAGTGCGTTTAGGGGGTTTAGGGAATTTAGGGGGTTTATAGGGTGTTTACGGGCTTCTTGGTTTTGAGTGTGCTTAGGGTGTTTGAAGTGCTTAGGATGTTTAGGAGGTTTAGGGTGTTTAGGGTGGTTGCGGTAGGTAGCTAGGTTTTGGGTCAAGGGTGTAGGGGTTAGGGTTTTGGGTTTAGAGCGTTTAGGGCCTTTAGAGCGTTTAGAGTGTCTAGGGTTTGTAGGGTTTAGGGGTTGTAGGGTTTCGGGTTAGGGAGTGGGGGTTTGAGGGTCTCACAGACATTGGGGTTCGGGGTAGCTTCTAGTGAGGTTTGCAGGGGCTTTAGGGGCTTAAGGGGCTGAAGCATGGAGCGGTTTTCGTGGGCTTTGGGAAGCTTAGGGGTCTCGGGGTTGACTCGTTCAGGGGATTAGGGGTTGCGCAGTGGGTTGAGGTTTCACGGGATGTGGATTGTTGGGCAAAGACACTGGTTGGCGGAATGAGTGGCACACGCGCCAGCGGTTCGACAGAACTGCCTGGTGCTGCTGCTGCTGCTACTGCTGCTACGGGGGCTCTTCTTGCACGGTGTGCACGGTGCACAATCACTCAGCTCACCACTGCTGAACAAAACCTTCACACAAGCGTCTGCCATTGCCGCGCCCACCGCGCCGGTTAAGGTGGGGATACCCGCTCGCGATCGCTTCCAGCTTCTTTGGAGAGGTCATGACAGCTGACACAGCGCCGGAGAGGTAATCCTTCAGCCTGTCTTGCTTGTCCTGCTCTTTCCCTTCTGGATTGTTCTGGCGCTTTTGGCCTGGTTTCACGAATTCAAAACTTAAAGGGACACTCGTCGTGGCCGTGGAGATTGGGCAGGGAAGAGCCATCCCCGAAACCCTAAAACACGACTTGAAGGTTCATGGGTAATGAGAAGTAGGGATATAAGTAAGACAACCTACATGATAGCCTTAACTGAGCTCCTTATAACCCCAGACCTACAACGAATATAGGGGTCGGAAGAATTACTAATAACATTCCCTTCTAGTCCCTTGATATTGATACTACAATAACCCCCCCCCCCCCCCAAAAAACCATATTCTACCTACTAAGGCCCCGATATCAGGCCCTCAACCCTCAACCCTGAACCCTAAACCCTCCCCACTGTGGTCAAGCCTGGGCGAGGCAGCCCTAAGCCCGAAATTCTAAACCCTAAACCTTGGGATGTTCCCCTTATACTAACGGTCTTTGATAGGGCTATTATAGTACCCCCCGATCATAATCCCTATTAAGGACGATTAGTATACGGGGGAACATCCCAACCCTAAACCCTAAACTCAACACTCCAAGCACCCAAAACGGGAAAAGCAACATCCCAGTGTTCGTTCTGAGTGAGGAACACGTGTCGGAGCCCGTGATAATCATGCCCTTACTTGGGACATATTTCAGACAGCAAAAACCAACGAACTAAACTAGGCATACACATGATCCTAAGTCCCGGAACCCTAAACCCCATATGAGAATCCTAAACTCTTGATCCCAAACCGCACCACTAAAACCCGATAATTCAAGGGATGAAGACTCGTACCCCTAAAGATGTAACCCTAAGAGGTTCTCTCAGTATAAAGGGCCCCCTAACCCAAGAATGCAGCCCGAGAGGATCAAAGATGAGGAAACACTCACTACTTGGAGGTTCATGGTACTTATTAACCAATGACCACTGTACTTTTTAGCTGTCACTAGCTGTACTTATAGTTATAAGCAGGTTCTTAGTACAGTTATAGTTGGTGAATAAGTACCATGAACCTCAGTACACCCTCCTCGTAAGCCCCTCACCCTCAAGCACTTGGCTCCCAGCAACCCTCAGGGCTTAGGGCTCTAAACCTGAAACCCTAGGGTTTAAACCCTCAACCTCAAACCCTAAACCCTCAACCCCCTCAGCCCTCAACCCCAAACCCTAAACCCCCGAAAAGAGCAAAGACCCTAGCTAGTACCGGGCTCCCTTGGGTAAACCAAGGAGCCACAGTCTGGATTGGCAGATGCCCCGAGCAGCAGAAGCACCAGGGCACGGCGCATCGCCCCCCAGGGGAGAGGGGTTTAGGGTTCCGGGGTTCGGGTTTCGGGTTTCGGGTTTAGGGTTTAGGGTTTAGGGTTTAGTGTTTAGGGTTTGGGGTTTAGGTTTAGGGGAGGAGGGGGTCGAAGGTTTTCAGGCTTTCGGGATTTAGGGGTTTTTAGGGTTTCGTGGCTTAAGGGCTTAGGGGCTTAGGGGTTCGGGGCTTTCGGGCTGGTTTGGGGTTCAGGCCTCTGGGGCTTGGGGTTTTGGGGCAGGGGGGGGGGGGGGGGGGGGGGGGGGGGGGGG